AATACTGTAATAATAGTCACGTGACTGTGCGCCCTCTCTCTCTCTCTCTCTCTCTCTCTCTCTCTCTCTCTTTCAAAACCTTACCCTGTGTGGTATTTGTCGACCACAGTTGACTATGGGCCAGTGAAATTCTGGAATAGGGGGGACTACTGCAATGAGGGCCCAAGTTAGGGCTACTGTAATTTAGGGTCAGACAATGGTTGAGTCCAGTTCTGCTGTACACAGAGAGGTGACCCAGTGCATTCACCCCCACCCTCACCCCCTCACCCGCTCATCCCCCTCAACATTATGACCCCGTGGAGTGACTCTGACAACCTAAGAGACTGTACCACTTGGCATGCAGTAAGCCCTTGATAAGCTGTGATCCTAACACAATCCTTGTGTGATCTTTTCATGATCCCTACATGATCCTTGCACGAGACTAGCATGATCCTAACATATTCGAGCGCTCACAACACCCCTGGTCCCACATGACCAGCATCCTTCCCTCTTGTGAAAGGTGTGATGGGTGGCTGTCCGGTTGATATTTTTTCTTTTACTGGGGGGGCAAGGAGAAATTACTCTGGCCTGGACCCCATGACCAAACTGTAGATGCCTCATCCCATGAGCAAGGGACTCCTTGGGATGATTTGTCGCTCTAGCCAGACTCCTCTTTAGTGGGCAACATCCCAGGCGAGGCGGGGACGAGGGACACTGGGGAGCAGGGCACTGCAGCTGCTCGTGACCTCCAGCTGGGCCCCACTCCACCCGCACCACCCACTCCACCTTGCTGTCTCTGCCCGAGGCCCCAGGAGACTTCCTTCCTCCTCAGGGCCTAGATGGAGCCAGAAGCATGTTGAGGACGCCTGTCCAGGGGGGGAGCCCTGCCCACAGGCTGGCAGTGCTGAGCCAGGAGGCCGAGGACTGGAGGCCAAGCCTGGGCTCAGAACTCCCCGACATGGGCCCTGCCCCTCCTCCCACTCTGCTCATGTCCCCGGGGAGGGTTCTGGCCTCCTTTTCCAGCAGATCAAAGCCCCTATGTCAGGAAACCCAGGCAGAGGGGTCTCCACTTGCTCCTGGGGTGACCTTTCCTGCTGCCAGGTGGGGAATGAGAACTAGCCGGCCTCATCCAGGTGCAGAGACCGCCGCCCCTGCTCAGCTCACCAGCCCCATGCAAGATGGCGCCCTGCAGTTCTCTTCTCGGATTTAAAAACCTCAGAGGCGCAGGGGACTTGTCCAAGGTCACAGAGCTCCAAAGCTCTGTGGTCCTGGTGCCAGCTCCCATGGGCTGGGGGTTCCCCACCGCACCCCCTAACACAGAGGCCACTAAGCACTGTCCATGGATTGTAAATGAACATAAATCACTGGACAGACACTGACAAGCCTTGAGAGTGTGACTGGTCTGATGTGTGGCTGGTTGACTTTAAAAAATCATCACAAACCTGATACCTGATTAGTGGTGGTGGGGGGGGGGGGAGGGGGGGCGGTCCCTACTGTTACCTTAAAGGAAAAAATAAATTTATTTTTAAAAATATCTAAATAATAAAAATAAAAAGCCATCACCTAATTTTTGCTTTGAAAGACCTTTATTTAATTTTAAAACTTAGAAAGAAGACTGAGGTATAATTCACATACACGAAGACGCACAATGCTGGGTGTGGAGGTTGATGGGCGGGGGCTTGGACACCCAGCCACGGCAGCGCCCGGGGCCCCTGAGGCCAGGCCCCCTTCCCTCTGTGCACAGCAAGGCAGGGAGGAGTGTGGAGGAGCGAGGGAGGAGCTCAGCCGCCACAGACAGTCAGAATTTTGCACAAAGGAAAAAAACGAGCTATTTTCATTTCCACACACATGCAAGTTTGTGTTTTACAGGTTAGATATCTTTTTATTTTGAATTACATATTCGAGGGTGCTCCCTATAACTTTCTCAGACTCAAGGGCTCCAAAATCTGTCCTCTGAGCCTGCATCTCTCCCAGCACAGCCGCATCCCCTGGGGGCCTGTTAGGGATAAAGAAAACTCCCCTCTGGCCCTAAGTCCCAAACCTGAATCCCAGAGCTCAGGCCTGCCTCTCCTTTCCCTGCCCTGGGAGAGTCCTGCTGACACTCCACGGCGATCACAGCACTCGCAATGCCCCCGGGTGTTTCAAGTTGCCCCGTGGCACCAGACACCCTCACTGAGTGCAGGATGTGGCAGGGCCCAGCAAACCAGAGCCTGCGGGCGGCTCAGGCCCTGAGGAGCGCCAGGCAGGCCGTGCTGCACCTGGGCCACCAGGGGGCGCTGGACACCGGCCAAGCTGCCCTGACTGGCGGGCTCCTAAGGGGGCTCAGAAATGAGCTTTGCTTTCAGACCCTCCAAGGTGATACAGAGGCAGCCATTCCCCTGCTCCGCACCCCCACGCCCCCTTTCTATGCTTTCCTGTGCATATACACCCCTAGGCTAGACCAGTTGCCTGGTTGGCTGCTTCCTCGGCCAGTTTTATCAAAGCCTCTGCAGATTTTAACTCTCTCCTCGTTCCCACCAAGCCTCCTGTGGTCTCTCTCCCCCACGTCCATTCCATCTTTCTCCCTGGGGATCGCTGGATCATTCCAGGCTTTGAACATTCTCTTATTACCCACAATCGACCTAGTTTGATCCTTAGAACTGCACCCCTGTGAAGAGGCAATGGGACAGGAGCATGGTGACCCGGGCAGAAAAGGAAACTGAGGCACAGAAAGATGGAATGACTGAAGCAGGGGGACACAGCAAGCAAGTGGCAGCCCTGGGGAGAGAACCAGGACACCTGATGACCCCGTCACTTTGGGAGCTGCCCGAACTTGAGTCTGTAGATGGATAGGGCCCCAGCCCTCCAGCCACCACCCCCTCTCCGGGCTGTCAGGCCAAGACACCCATCCTGCCACTGACTTGTTTTGTGACCCTGGCGAGTCTCTCGTCCTCTCTGAGCTTCTGGAGAGTATGAAGATGGCCTCTGGGTCCCCTTCTGACTGGGACATTCCATGACTGAGGCCGAAATCATCTCTACCCTTTGGGGTTTTGGGGATCCTCACTCAAAATAGAAGAGGACTTTTGGGCAGGATAATGACAGGAACCTAGTATAACAGCAACAATGGCACAAGCCTCCACTTCTCAATGGATTTCTACAGCAGGGCTTTCCAGAAGATTCAAGAGTCCGTGTACTGCTCACCATCACTCTGGAAGGTAGGCATTTTTATTTTCCCCATTTCATAGAAGAGGAAACTGAGGCTCAGAGAAATGAAGTAAGTGGCTGAACAGGTTGGGGTCCCAGGGAGACCTGACCTCAAAAAGCAGGGTTTTCTTCCACCCTCTGCTGCAAAGGAAGCTTCTGGAAGCCTGCTTTAGAAACTCAAGGGTCTGTCCTAGAATGTCTGTGGCTGTTGAGCCTCCCTCCCACCCCAAATGCAGCCCTTCAGCTTCCCCGCCCTCCGCCAGGCCCTTATCCTGGGCCAACAGACAGACACCGTGCCCAGTCAGAGACCATGAGCAGATGCAGCTTTATTGCACAGACCGCAGCATCCTGAATTCTCACCCCAAACATCAGTCCTGAAATTAGATCTGGAAGCGCTGACAGTCCAAAGCTTAACTCCAGGCCTGGGTCAGACCAAAAAGCCTGGACATGGATCCCAGAGCTGAGGCCTGGAGCATGTGAGCGCTGAGCAGTGCCCCCAGCCCATGCCCCCCTCCCAGGCATCCAGAAGGCGCAGAGCCCCAGGCTTGGTTCTCCATGGGCTCCTCTGCGTGCAAATGCAGCCAGAACTCCAGCCAGGCCGCGAGTCTCAGTGGTACGTGGATCTGTGTGAAGCTGGTGGAAGGGTCCCAAGTATTGAGGGGACAGGGAATGCTGAGCCCATCAGAAGCAAACTTCAGGTGGGAGAGGTGCCCTCATCAGGCTGGGCGCAGGCAGCCTCCCCCTCTGCTTGGATGTCACTGCCACGTCCTTCCACGAGCTTAGCGGGGCCTGCAAGCCCTTCCCTCCCAGCCTCTACTCACCCCTAGTAGCACGAGGGCCAGAGACCGAGCATGGGACGAAACACCTGCAAGTGAGCTTCCCGTGAATGCCATCTTCTGCCAAGCAAGCTGGGGTTGTGATGGCACCAACTGTACCCAAGGGGAGCCCCAGACTTGTTCACCCTCCTTGGAAAATGCTTCATAAGCAGCCTGTCCTCAGCTCCTGCATGGGAGTCTGCCCCCAGGAAATCTGCCTGGGCCTCCAGGGGCTTCCAGGCTCATGCTCCCCAAGCCTAAGGTGTGCCCTGGTGTGAAAACAGACAAACCAAGTCACGGGGGCGCACAGCAGCTCATCTCACCAGCCCCAGAGCCCCCGCAGGCTGAGCCCTTGGCACCCTGAGCCCCCTGGGAGTCCCCGATGCAAAGCCGGCCTCAGCTGCAGGCCATTCAAAGACAGGGCTGTCCTAACTGCCCCTCGGCCCTCTTCTCATCCTAGCCGGCCACCCGGTCAGTGGCCCTGCAGCGGCGGCTCCAAGACCTCTAGTGGTGCAGAAGGAAGCTAACAAGATCATGGGAGGACACAGGAGCACTGTCTTTGGGGGTGTCCACGTCCTCTTGTGTCATCTCTCTGCGGGAGAGTGTGTTGGGTCAGGACAGTGACAGGAAGGGCTCTCCCACCCAAGGATCCGTTCCTTGGTGCTTGGGAGGCCTCAGACCAGCAGCCAGAGGGTAATGAAAAGCCGGCCAGGGAAAGATGGAAGGGGGTCGGTCGGGTTGCCTGTTAACATCCTGGTTTGCGGACTTCTCCGAAAACACACAGAAGCCCAGGGAGGAGGTGGCCCCGGGGGAGGTGGCAGTGGAGGAGGGTGTGGGACAGGAGCAGGCCAGGGAGCTGGAGACCAGGGCTCTTCCTTCAGGCTCCCCCTGCCGCCGTGTGGAGAGGTAGGTCCAGGGAGGCAGTGCACGCGCTCTGCCCGTCCCGGCAGCAACGCCACCCAGCACGGGCGCCGGGGGAGGTGGGCGCCGGGGGAGGTGGGCGCCGGGGGAGGCCTCCTTAAACGATGCGGCATGGGTGTGAGCCGGACCCCCAGGATCTAGCTAGAGTCCAGTCCTCCTCGGCCACCCTGCCTGGCACTGCATAAAGATGGTCCGCCGTCCTCAGCAGGAACTCCAGGCTCTGCACAGAGACAGCGGGAGGATCAGGCACGAGAGGAAGGAAGAAAGGAACGAGCCAGGTTCGAGACTCAGGCTTGATTTTCTCTGGGGTCAGCTCCCTCCTCTCCAGGCCCTGCGCAGCCTTGCCCTTGGCTGTGACTCAGCAGGGTCAGAGACCAGCGTTCCGGAGGCACCTGCTTCATTCTCCAGATGCTGCCTCTGCTTATCCCCCACCCCCACCCCACCCCGCGCTGTTCCCTGGGCCCCCCTCCTCCTCCCTCCGTGGCACCTGGCTCGCTCCTTCCCACCCTCGGGCCATTACGTCTTCGGTCTCTGCCGCAGGCATCCCCAGGTCCCCTATGACACAGGACCCCACAGATCCAGCATCCACCTCCAGGCTGCACCCCAGGGATTTCTTCTCTCCCGGGATTGGGCAGGAGCCTCCAGCCCCCCGTAAGCGAGGGCGCAGGAAGGGGCTCTTCGGTCAGGACAGGGCCAGAGGAGAGACTCTGCTAGCATCGCCAAACACAGGATTTAGGGTGCCCGGTTTGGTCCTAGCAGGAAAAAGACTGTCTTTTGTTGATACCTCACTCTGAGACCAAGAGGGGCCAATTTCCTTCAGCACAGCCCAGTCCTCCTTTGCACTCGCACCCAGAGGGAGAAAACCATGAGGCGTTCATGGAGGTTTCACGAAGAAAGGGAGGGCAGAGAGGAAGGGCCAGACTGACTAGGTCTGGCAGGCCCCACTGCCGCTGGCGCGGGAGCCCGAGGTGGCCCTGTACCGCGGCTACTGTCCGACGGCGTGGCCGGTCGGCTGCCCTCGCCACCCGCCCAGGGAGTCAAGAACTGTTCTGCTTGACTTTGAACTGCAAGACTTTTACATCATGAGCTGTATGAGATTTATTCTTGTGGTGTTCACCCCACTTCTTAGGGCAGGCATGAGTTCCCTCGTATCTCGTATCCCCAGGTCTGCAGGTGCTCAGCAAATGTTGGTCGAGTGAGTGAATGAGCAAAGGCCCCAGAACGCACCTGACAGAGCGCAGGTGCTCTGCAATGTCCTGCTAATGAGCGGGTGGGCAGAGTGAGGGCCCCCTCCATCAACCCTGCAGTGCAGGCGCCTGCATTCGCCCCAGGACGGTTGCCCAGGAGGCAGCAGGCCCTTCCTCCCGTCACCCTGATGCCCAGAACTCTCTAGAGCTCCCAGCGCACCTGGTAGAGGAGGGTCAGGTCAGTAGGTGAACGAAGAGGATGGCCAGGCCGATGTTGAGCAGGATCACCATGCAGATGAGGACCGTGTTGGGGACCTGGGACAGTGGGGAGAGGCCGCCTGAGTCCCAGCCCTCTCTGAAACAGCCTCTCCCCGTCACAAGTTGGAGCTTCCTCCACCCCCAGGAGGCCCTCCCTGCTACACCTTGTAGCAGATGCTGCTGGTGCCCACCCAGATGCCCAGAACCCGCCAGAGTACCCAACTCCAGCCCCCAGCTGCCCCCTTCTCCAAAGTGCTGCCCTCTGCTGACCAGACAGCAGGTGGAGGCCCTGCCCCAGGTCAAGGGACCTGAAGGACTCACCTAGGCCCCCCAGCCGTCTGTGGGCGAGGCTCCACCCACTGAGCCCACACCCCTGATGGGGTCCCCCACCCGGTCCTGCTGCTCTCATCCCCCGGCCCCCAAATCACCCACCCCTGAGGACCCCCTTCCTGCTAGACGCTCCCAGGGCCTCACCTCCTCTACCTCCACCTCGGCCTCGGCCAGCAGCGCAGCCTCCTTGCGCGCCTTCTTCTTGGACCCCGCCTTGGTCAGGCCCCGGGCCTCCGTCTTGCGGGCCTTGGCCTTGGGCTCGGCTTTGGGGACGATGGGCTTGGGCTCCAGCTTGGCGGGGCTCGCGGGCCGGGGCTCGGGGACGCGGGGCGCGGGGGGCTGCTCGGGGGCGGCGGCCGGGACGGGGGCGCCGAGCCGGGCCTGGGGACGTCGGGCTCCGGCTCCTCGTCCAGGGGCGGGGGCGCGGGCGGCCCGGTGCGCACGGCGTAGCTGTGGTAGCCGCGGTACAGGGCCACCTCGGGCTCGCGCGCGGGCGGCGGCGGGGCCTGCAGCGCCTCGATGGCCATGTGCTCGCTGGCCGGCCGCGCGGGGCTGCGGCGGCCCCGGGCGTCCGACGGCGTGGCCGGTCGGCTGCCCTCGCCGCCCGCGTCGCCGTTCCAGGCGCCCGGGCTCAGCAGGCCGTCCTTGGTGGCCCCCGGGCGCGGCCGCTTGGGCTGCGGGGGCGTCCCGGCCGGCGACGGCGAGCCCCCCGGGCCGCGGGTCTCGCGCTCGTGCAGCTGCGGGCTCTCACGGGGGCGCCCCGGGAGGTCGGCGGGCACCGGGATGCGGTCCGGGGGCGCCAGGAGGCTCTCTGAGTTCTCCAGGATCTCCTGCAGCAGCCGGCGCTTCTGATACTCCGGGCCTGCCAGGGACGACACGGGAGGCTGGATTCGAACCCGGGTGACGCCACGGGGTGCGCCTGGGCAAGATTCTTCAGTTCCCTGAGCCTCATTTATGTGCTTGACCATCTACCGTGTGCCTAACACTGTCCTGAGCAATTTGATCGTTTTGATAACCCCACGGGGTCCTTGGTATTAGCGTCCATTTTACGGGGGAAGGTCCTGGGACCGTGTTGGGGACCTGGGACAGTGGGGAGAGGCCGCCTGAGTCCCAGCCGTCTCTGAAACAGCCTCTCCCGGTCACAAGTTGGAGCTTCCTCCACCCCCCAGGAGGCCCTCCCTGCTACACCTTGCAGCAGATGCTGCTGGTGCCCACCCAGATGCCCAGAACCTGTCAGAGTACTCACCCCCCACCCCGCGCCCAGCTGCCCCCTTCTCCAAAGTGCTGCCCTCTGCTGACCAGACAGCAGGTGAAGGCCCTGCCCCAGGTCAAGGGACTCGGAGGACTCACCTAGGCCCCCCAGCTTTCTGTGGGTGAGGCTCCACTCACTAAGCCCACATCCCTGATGGGGTCCCCCACTTTGTCCTGGGAGGGAGGCAGGCTCAGAGAGGTTAGATCACTTATCCAAAGTCACCCAGCGGACAGAGGGCAGAGTCGGGACCAGCAGAGGGAGTCTAGTCCCAGAGTTTAGGTTCTTAACTGGGACACTGGTTTCTTTCTGTTCCCTTAGCTCAAAAAAACAGGGCTAATCACAACTACTTCCTCTGTACAAATGGATGGATGCCTGCGGAAATTCATGTGAGATGCTGAGGTCAGGCCTGGCAGGGCAACAGCTGTTGCTTTGACAACCCAAGGAGGGGTCTGGAAGCCAGGGTGTCATCCTCATTGGGACCAGTAGGGGGCCCCATGCTGCGAAGGAAGCGACTTATCTTCCCAGGCGCACAGCTGGATTCCGAGGTTTTGCATTTAGCTCCCCTTTGATCTTCTCGATGCAGCCAGAGTAATGTTTAGAAAATGCACATCTAGCCACTCGCCATAAAACTCTTCAATGCAGAGAACACCAGGCTTCCCCCTTCAGGGGCTCCCACTCTAGCCAAGTGCAAAGCCTGTGTCAGAGCCAGGAGGCCCTCCTTACTCTGTAGCCTCATTTCCCACCAAATGTCTGTTTTACATTCGCACTTCCAGGCATGTAGTTCTGTTCCAGGTTTATGTGTCTTTGTAGCTGTAGTGCCCGTACCTGGATTACCATTCCCTCCTGGCACTACCTGGTGCAATAGTTCTCAAAATGTGGTCCCAGACTACCAACAGCGGTAGGCCTGGTCCTCATTAGAAAGCACAGTCGTGGGCTCTGACCCAGACCCATTGAGTCAGAAACTCAGGGCGGGAGTGGAGGGTGTGGGGTGGCTGCATTTTGTGTCATGTTTCGACACACTGACCTGGTGAACTCTTGTTCAGCCTTCCAGGTTCAGCAACCTTCCCTAACATCTGCAATGGGTTAAGTGCTTCTTAAGCACCACAGCCCCTGTTCTAATCACACAGCCCTCATCAGGCTGTGTGGAACTTAATAGTGAAGCAACAGCCAGCAGTTATGGAGACTTGCTGTGGAGTGAGCCATGTCTCTGTAACTTACATGCATGTAACCCAGCAAAGTAAGTATTATTCTTACTCCCATTTTACAGATCCAAATAATGAGGTTTACAGAGATTAAAGAAATGACCCAAGGTCTCATAGCTGGAGAGCAGTGGAGTCGCAAGATTTTGAATGTATGCAGGGCCTGTATGCTTCCCCCCTGCCATGTGATCTTCTGCTCCTCTAGATCCAGGATCTTAGCTGTGTACCCCCAGAGTCCAGAGTGTACCCCCCGAGTCCAGTACAGTGTGTGACTCATGGGTAGTGTTCAATGGATGTTTGACGAAAACTGTGGAGCAAGATCAGTCTCTTTGCCCCTTCATGCACCAGAGGCATCTCTCTCCTCTAAGATTTATCAGCTCCAAATGTCAGTTCCCACTTGGGGCAGAAAGAAGAGGCAGCCAGGAGAGGAATTAGTCCACAGTGGGGAGAGGGGGATCTGATGCTTCCACCACAATGTCAGCATGAGACCTGCCTGTGTAACTCCCACGCATCTGTGAACCTGCTTGGGCATCTCCGCTTTCCAGCAAGTCAAGAAGAAAAGTATCCACATCCCAGGACCTCTTTCCCCTTCCCCACCCATCTGCTCCCTGGCTGTGCCTACCTGGCTGGTAGAAGTCTGGAGCCAGCTCCCTGGCCAACGTTCTGGCAATGTTGGACTCCTGGTTGGCAGCCAGAGCGGCCTGTTCTGCTGCCTCAGCTTTGGCCTTGGCGTGGCTTGTCCTAAGAAGACAAATGGCAGACTCAGGATTCCTCCTGAGAACGGGCCCTCTGCCCCTCCTCCCCAGCCCACAGAGACACCTTAGACAGAGCATTCCTGGCAATGAGCATTTATTGACTCCTAAGGTTCAGACTGCTGTGCAGTCTCCAGATCGTTTCCTCTTCTTTTGGGACACACATATAGACTACATATCCCAGCTTCCCTTGCAGTTAGACGTGGTCAGGTGACTGAGTTCTGGTCAGTGCATTGTGGGAAGATGTGATCTATGCTTTCTCCAGGACTCACCTGCAATCCTCTACTGCTGGTTGAATGCAAAGGTGAATGTGGCTGAATGCTGCTAGTTGAATGCCAAGGCCCCCCAACAGGGTACTTAACCTCTGGTAAAAGCCTTTGGTTTCCCCTCTCTGAATGTTGTAAAATGCAACAGGTACATTGGATTGTAAAGGGATGCAATTATATTGCCACACTATTCAAAAACATTTAAAAGAACAAATTTGTGACATAATGTGTATCTTTTATCAACACATTAAACAAATATCTAGCAGGCCCATTAGCTACCACAGATTGGCATAAGGGCTATTTCAAGAACATTTGCAACCGTGGTGATGTCATGTGAAAATAAATATTATTTCTGCCCATGACAAATTCACAGATACTGCTGCTATAGTTTATTGCCTGCTTCCATCATTGAAGAAAATGCTTAATTTTCATTAGAGGTAAGTAAAAATAAAGATGCCCCCCCAAAGGCCGAATTGGGATGTACAACATTAAAACGTTACATTCAAACATTCATTTAAGCAAGGCTTCAATGTTTGTTGCATCAAGCACCTGAGATTTGGAGGAAGTTTGTTTCAGCGGAGTCTCACCTGACTAACATAAGTACCTCCTGAAATAAGAACAGCCCTACTTACAAGTGGGGTAGGCCCAGTTCTAAAGGAATGATGATTTGTGCCTGAGATTATGATGTCTTCAGAAGCCAGTGCTATGATTATTTCCCCCATTTTATAGAAAAATCAACTGCAGCATGCATGGGTTAAGTAATTTGCCCTTGGTCACAGAGCCATTGAATGTGCTAGAACTGGGATTTTATTATTTACTTATTTATTGTTTTGAAGTTCAATTTTTTTTTTTAATTGAGGCAATGTCAGGTTACAACATTGTGTAATTGTCAAGAGCGTACCTTCACACCTGGACAGATGTATATAACACACCACACCCAACACCAACGATCTGGCTTCCTTCCCTCATGGTCCAATTGACTCCCTCCACTCATTCCACCCCCACCCTCTTCCCCTTTCTGTTGTCATAAAATAATGGTTGTTTTGTTTGCCCATTTTTGTTTTGTTTCTTTATAGTACACATGAGTGAAATCGTGTGGTCTTTTCTCATTCTGACTTATTTCACTGAGAACAAGCCCTTCAAGGTCCATACATACTGTTGCACATGACCCAAAAAACCCCCCAACAACTCATCCCTTTTCATAGCTGTATAGTATTCCATGGTGTGTATTGCCACATTCACTTTACCTACTCACCCACTGATGGGCTCTTTCCCTCTATTACCTATTGAGAATAATGCTGCGATGAACATGGAGGTACAGGTATCTTTTTGAATAAGCATTGGGATTTTAAACCCAAGCAAGATAACTCCAAAACCCATGGGACATTTGACTCTGCAGCATGTGACATACCTGGTCAGGCACTGAGGACCATTCCTGTAAACAAGATAAACCTAGTCCCTGCCCCTCACTGGCAAAGAGAGGGAGATGATAGTGAACAAACAACAAAAATGATTTAATAAAATGTCACTAAATAAAAAGTCTGGCGTTGCAATAGAGAGAAGTGCCATGAAGGAAATGTCTAGAATGCAATGAAATGCAGACGAGAGAGACAGTACAGATCAGCGACGCAGGTGGGTGGTAGCGACAGTTTACTTGAGGATTTGACATTTTAAGTGGAGACTTGAAGAAACATATAAATTAGATCTGTAAGAGGAGACGCAGGCACAGTGTGAGAGCATACACTTGCAGAGATGTGAATCGACACCCTTAAAACACAGATGGTTTGTAAATCGTTATTACCTCCATAAACATATATTTTTTAAAGGTGAGGACAGTATGCCAGGTAGAGGGAAAAGCATGTGCAAAGGCCCTGAGAAAGTTAAGAGCTTGTGGCCTTTGGGAATCTGAAAGGTCAAGTCAGCATCCATGAGTGCAGATGAGTTCATTCCCCAGCAAGTCCATATGTGGGGGGTCTGTGTATCGGTTTCTGGTATAGAATTGGGCTCAAGAGACAGAAATTTTATTAAGCTCCTACCACCCACCAGGCTCCTTACTGCCCTGATGACTTTCAATCCTCAAAACTGCCTGGGAGGTTATTTTTACTCTCTCTACTTTACAGATGGGGAAACTGAGCCTCAGACAGGCATCTTGCTCCAGGGGCAAGATGACTCTTATACAAAGCATCACCATCTGCCAAGGGCTTTATAGAAACGAACTTGCTTAATTCCCCTAATGCGGCAGATGTTATTACCATCATCCCTCTTTATAAAGGAAAACTCCAAGGCATAAGACGGTTTCAAGCAATGCACCCAGGCTTACGCAGCTTAAGAGGGCAGAGCAAGATTTCCATGCAAAGCATTCTGGGTCTAGAGTCTATGCCTTAAACAGCAGGCAACGCTTGCCCTCACTAACAAGCAGTGAAGTCCAAATGCAGAACCTTCTTATTTCCAAGCCCCCGCCCTCCCCATTAGGCCACAACAATGCTCGCTGGAAGAAAGACGACTTGAGAGAACGCAGAAGACAGGCAGGTTGCTTTAGGCGAGGAGCAGCAGCCTTAAGAGCAAGGGCTGGAATCAGCACCCCCAATTCCCTTTGAGCTCTGCCAAGGATGAGGCAAACAAGACTTAACCTCAGGCTCCAAACGGATGCGGAGTGCCCCAAAACTCAGTCAGCAAAATGAATAATATTTTAATGTAACATTTTAAGGTCAAAATTCATGCAAACAATAAATCCTTGATGAGCAAAATTGAAATAAAGGTCAGATCAGACCCTAAACTAGTATGACTCTCCCTGCTTGCCTCCCGGAGTCCAGACCTTACTGGACTGTAGGACCTTGGGTGGGGCTTTGTCTTTCTGTGCCTCAGTGTCTTTAGCTGTAAATAGAGACAAATTGTCTCCCCTCTGGTGCTGCTGTGGAAACCAGGGAAAATCAGCTGATGAGAGTGTTTAGGTCAGGGTGGGCTGGTGAGGATGGTGATGATGGTGGTGGTGATGGGAGGAGGGGCGGGCAGAGGGGAATGCCACTTGTGACGTCACAACTGAATGGAGTACATGGATATCCTCAGGCTCATAATTGCCTCTGCTTGAGTATGTGTGATTCAAAGTCCTAGACTTTCCAGAAACCCTGCCCTGGAAACATGAAACCCCAGGTGAGGGGAGGAGGGAAAGTGTTGGGCAAACCTTCAAACTGAGAAAATGTCCTATTTTGGTAAGGGGAGCTGGTGACTATCTCCTGCGCACCCTGGGAAGCTGAGCTTCAAGGCTTCTCCAGCAGGAATGCAGCCTTCACACAGCATCCTGGAAGGTTCTGAAGGCCCAACTGTGGACCCTCCAGGGCAGCCAGAACAGGGGTCAAAGGGGGTGGCCTTACAGCCCAAGACAGTGAGGGCTGCAGTGTCGGGAGGAAGCACACTCCCCTGCCCATATCTGTCTGTCTGGGGACTGCTACCCCCATTTCAGGAGTGGCTCTCTGGCTCCCCAGACTTCAGCCAGTGACCCTAGGGTTCTCCCCTACCCTCCTTGCTCATCTTTTAATCCCCGCTGAGGCTGGGGACCAGGGGCTAGCGTTGGGGTGGGTGCTCTCAGACGTGGTTCCAAGCTGTCATCGCCTGCCCCTACCCCAGAGCCACCAGCCTTATTTACCCCTGAGGAAAGATAGTCTGAATCTATCCAACCAACCACCAACTCCAGTCTCCAGTACTCCCTCCATCGCTCTTGAGTCTGCCGGTCCTCCACCTTGTCACTCCCCCTGCAAAGCCTCACTCCCACCTGCCCCTCCCCGCCCCAGGCCCCTTCCTCTGGCTGGTCCTGGACAGAGCGGCTCAGTGAGCTTGCTGAATCCAAACCTCATCCACTGGCCTCAGCGCTGCTTAAATTTTTTGCAAGGCGTCCTACTGTGCTCAAAACTGAGTCCAAACTACTTCGCCTGGCCTTCAGGTCCCCAGAACGCCGGCCGGGCACAGTCAGGATGGATTATACCTCAGGCTGCAGAGTGAGGGGTGTCCACGCCATTGCGCAGGGCTCTCCTAGCCACTGCCCCTCAGAGTGGGCCGGATACCCTCAGCCTCGTCACTGCGGAGCTCGCCAGAGATGCAGATTCTCAGGCTCCACCCCAGAACTACACAATCCAATTTTCTAGGAGAGGAGACCAGGGATCTGTGTCACAAGCTCTCCAGGTGTTTCCGCTGCCCACTGAAGTTTGAGAAGCAGGTGCTGAGAGGGAGAAGGCAGCTCTATCTCGGGCTACTCTTTGGGTGTTTCTCTTTCCGCACCAGCTCCCTTCCCCATGGCCAGGGCCCTCCGGGGGAAAGCAGGGAACCTTCTTCTCCGGAGCCACACCAGAGGCTGGGCCGATGCCTCTGGGACTGTGTCCTAGGCTGGTGCTGCCCCAGCTGGGGAGAGGACGGAGTGTTACTGGGGCAAAAGGAAGGGCAGGGGGCCCTCTTCTTGGTTTCCTTAGACTATCTTTCCTGAGGGTTAAAAATAAGGCTGGCGGCTCTGGGGCAGGGGCGGGTGACAACACTATGGAACCACGTCTGAGAGCGCTACCCCCATGCTAGTTCCCTGTCCCCAATGCAGGCCCCTAACTGCCTGGGCACAGCTGACTCGGTTGCTCAGTTATGTCCAGCAGGCATTGACGGCTCCATGGGCTGAAGGGGACACCCCTGGACCTCCCCCCGACTCTGCCTCTCCCCACCTGGAATGAGCTTCCCTCCCTCCACC